AAAAAATAAAATGAAATATTAAAATCACGATGTATCTCGCTGCATTGCGCGAGTACGCTTATAGTTAATAAAAAATCAGCATGAGGATGAGACACATAGCTTGACTAGGTTCCAAACCCTTTAAAAAATCTTATGTTTCGTTGTTACATTGGTTTAAAAATATAGTCATAAGGGCCTTTTTAATATTTTCGCATAGAGTATCAAAAACACTAAGGGATCGTTTACCAAACGCTTACTCGGGTAAGTGAACACCAAGTCACATTACCTTACCAGATAAATATGGTAATGACCAATAATCTTACCTGATAAGAGCGAGACAAGGACCAAGAGTCTTACCCGGTAAGTGAGAGCGACGACTCTTACCACGGTAAGCACATAAATATGGTAAGGACCAATAATCTTACCCGGTAAGAGCAAGAGAAGGACCAAGAGTCTTACCCGGTAAGTGAATGCGACGACTCTTACCACGGTAAGCGCTTACCGGGTAAATTGTTGCATACGAAACCATTTTGGTGGACTAAAATCTAATCGTTAAGTAAATGATAGTGTTAAATTTTACTGGTAAGCGCTTACCGAGTAAGTGTTGGGTAAACGGCCCCTAAGACCGACCCTAGGAAGAGAGAGCAATGGTAGCAGAGCAGGTCACACGGAGGAAGAGAGAACAGTAACACAAAGTTGTATTAATGAGAAAGAACAAGTAATGGCTCACGAGACATATACCAGTTACAACAATCGACAACTCGAGAGGTAAGAGGTTGAGACATGTGGATCATGAGCATCGAGGGATTTCTAGAATTTGCAATTTTGGATACTGGACTATACTCGACCTATGGCCTAGGCCTGAGATTACTGCGGATTTTAAACAACAAATTTATAATTATGAAAAATGGCAAATTGCATGAAAAAATAACGTGCTTTAACTTGATTCCTATTTTACATAACGTACTTTCAAAGCTTCCATTTTGGTATCTAAAATGTAAGGTTTAAACATTTAAATACCCGGATAACCGGTTGAAGCATTAACCGGTTACCATGCTGATGTGACGAGTAATGTGATATCCAACTCAGTATTATTTGGTGAAACATTAACTGGATATCATATCACTCGACATATCAACATGGTAATCGGTTAATACTTCAACCGGTTATCCGGGTACTTAAATGTTTAAAATTTTATATCATGGTTATCAAAATGGAAGTTAGAAATCAAGTTAAATTATGTTAAACATTTAATTATTAATAAAAAAATATTAAAATTTAATGTATTTACATGTCAAGAAATGAAAAAGTAGTTGGTGGTACCACGTCATGGTTAACATAATTGGCGAACAGTCAAGATTTCTATCCTGAAATCCACCATTTCTCTGTCAACTCGGTGGAGCAACTTCTCACACATAGTGAGCGCGGCGGAGATAACGGCAGACACGGCGGCGCCACCATGGAAAAGCTTATCTACAACCCCAACCACCATATCCTTTCAAAGCATCTAAAACCACGTCCATTTTTTCCCCATCTCGCTCGATTTCAACCTACTAAGCTATTCAATCCATCCCACTACACCATCCGAGTCAACTCAATCTCTTGCAAACATGAACAAAATCCGTCATTCGATTCTTCATCTCCGGTTATCAAAACCCCAGAAAGAGATTTGACCTTTTCTGAAAATAAGGGTTCTGTTATACCCAAACCTCAGTTTCTCCAGCAATTGTCGCAGGCATTTTCTCACAAACAGAAGGTAATTAGTAATTACGAACCCAATCTCTTATATTACGATGATGATTGTTAAATCGAATTGTTGTTTTAGGGTTTAAATATGCTTTTTTATCTAATGTTTGAATTCAAACGAATTTATTGGCTATTTAGATTCAAATCCTGATTCGTGTTGAAAATTACTTATAGGGTTTTTTTGATTCTTCATAATTTTACGAAGTCGCCAGTGATTGGAAATTTGGAATAGCATCTGGAATTTTGTTCTATTCCATGATATTGTTCTCAATTTTTATCCCAAATTTAGGGTTTGTGCTGATATATGCGAATGTGTTAAAAGAATTGCATATGAAGGATAAATAATCTAGAAAGGTAATTTACAGTGCTTTAAGGATAAAGAAGTCAGCATTTGACTTTTGGAGTATCAAATGAATGACCCTTTTTAACCTCAAACATCAATAAGCACCTGCACCGAATCGGTTTGCAGATCAATGAATGGTTATTACATACTTTCATTAGACCCTAAAGATGGTGAAAAATCGAAAGCATTCATGTCATTTTTTAGTTCGAGTAGTATTGGCAAAAAATTTGCATACGAAAGATAAAGAATTAAGAATCAGAAGGATGATTAGTGTTGAAAGCTTAAATTATTGTCTTTATGCATGTAAATTCCCAAAGGACCTGCTTGGTTTGCATGATTTGAAATTGAATTCCATTCCAATTATGTGTTTGGTTTGAAGGAAAGTTTGGATTTGAAATCCATAACCGACGAATTTAGAAATCCTTTGGAGATGGCTATCATTTCAAATACAAATCCAATGGATTTCAATTGTTTCCATTGTATCATTAGCCTGCTTTTTTCATCAAATCTACCCTAATCTCTCCATCGCCTTCAAACAAACAGATTACTTATAAAATAAACAAATATTTACAATAAAAAGTTCCATTCCAAATCCATCAGACCAACACTCTAAAAATTCCCAGTCCTTCCACGAAATCCGATTCCCTAAAAACATGTCAAACCAAACGGGCCCTAAATGTTGTTGATTGAGAGAGAACCGGAGGATTTATGGTCCACCGTCTGTTTTTGAGTTGTTTTTCCTTATTTGAATTTAGTTTAGTGTAAAGTTCTATTAGGATCTGCTTGTGGAATTGATATGCATATATAACAACCCTGCAAATACGCGAAAGAACCATATTTTATTTTAGGGTCCTATAAATGGCTAATGGCATGAACGATAACGGGAAGTTCCCGATCTACCCATTGTTGAAAATATATGAATCTGAAGATAGATTGTTCATATAGTCAAGCAAGTGTCCTACAAAATAGATAGCGACAACCTCAAGAACTCGATATCTTCAGCATTTTTATTAACAAGGCTACTTTTTTAATTTCTTTTTTGCATATGCATATTTCTATTTCAATGTTTCCTTTACTTTTTAGTAGTGCTGCCTTTTAAAGTGTCAAACACATATTCATATTTGCTTTTAAGATCGATCTCGTAAAGGCTCAAGGTTGATTTATTCATAAGTTTGAGGTGGATCTTTTGAATTGTATTGAATCCTCAAACAAGTTAAAACCACGAGATTTGTTTTTGTTTTCTTTCATTTCCTTTCTTGCTTCTCTTCTTTTTGATGGTCTATGACCAGTCTGCTTGATTTTTATTGGCACTGATGTTGCAAAATTGAAAAAATCTTAAGGGATCTTGTGGACCTAAATGGTTGGCGTTGGCACATGGTTTAGGAAAGTATTCAACTCCAAATAGTCTAAAATGCCCATTATTAAGTAGGAGATAAGAAAATCTTGTTGTGTGTTTTTTTTCCCTATAATTATGATGATGAACAAATAAGTAATTGTAAGTTGACAAACTTCCCAAAAAGGAATGTGTTGCAATTATGGGACCTAGAATGGAAAATTTTCTAATCTTCATGGGATGGATGACATAGAAAATATGTTTGTTGAGGTTATTATGGTACTTCAATTTATTACTTTCATGAATAGTAATGTAATGGCCGGGAGTTTTCACAAGAACCTCTCTAGCTCTTGGGTGGAGGAAAGGTCTATGTACAACCTATCCCCCATACCTTGCCTCCGAGTTGGATATACTGTGCTCACTTGGTTTATTTTATGTCATGTCCATGTGAAGCAACCCCCACCCCTTTCCCACTCCGAAAAAAGAAAAAAGAATTTGGCAAATAAAGGCTAGGCCTTGGTGCTTCTCCTTATAGGTCGTTCATTCGAGAGTCCTCATGCCCACTGGGGATATTCTTGGTTGTTATCTTCAGGGGGCTCCACATGATTAGCTGAGGTGCGCACAAGTTGGCCTAGACACCCACGGTTACCCCCTCCTTCGTGGCCGGGAGGAATTTGAATTGTCTTCTGAACTAAACTTAGCTGGAATAAGTTGATCTTTGACCTCGTTTAACCCATATATGAATCATTTCATGTAAGTAGCTTTATAGATGCCACCGGTGGTTCTAGCCCGTGGTGAATCTCCATCTTATGTTGTGAGGGTGTAGTTGTGAGGGTCTTGCACTATGTTTAGTTGTGAGTTGTTACAATATTCTAAAATTGTTGACAACGAATATGAAGGGATGCAAGATCAATGACATATGAGGGGTATATTTGGTCTTTTATCTTCAATCGAAGAGATTTACATTCACAAGTTACATATTTGAAAATTTAGTGCTAAAAATATAATGCAAGCATACAAAATATGCTTGAAACAACACGTGGAAGCATTCATAAATTTCTTATCAAGCTTGGAAGTTTGTGCAATTATGTACTCTTTTTATTTAGTAATCGCGGGTGTCCATGCCAGTTTGCACGCACCTCGACTAATCTCATGGGTCCTTAAGAGATCAACTAGTAAAATCCTTAGTGGTCCTAAGAAGATTCGAACGGGATCCCAATGGGGAGGAGCTCTAAGGCCTAGCCTTTATTTGCCAGTTGTAATTACATACTTAGAATTGTGTGATATGTCTTATCATATCGTAGAATTACAGGTTATAGGATCACAAAGTCATCTCCACACTTGTAGACATTTTTAAATATCCGCATTGAGAGTTTATGTGAGGGAAATGGTAGCCGACGCCAAGTTATGCCATGTAGGTTAGTCGTTCACATTTTCATTCGAGGATACCATGGTTTTCTCATCGACTTCCCTACTTGCTTTCTACACGATACTCATATCGTGTACCATTCTTGATCGTTATTACACTCTTTCTTGCTACATTTATAAATACAAATACTTGTTAAATCATATAAAGCGTAAGTGAAACGATCTCAAAGATTAGGTCATGTTTTCAGGCTGTAAGAACGGGTTTTTGTTACTAGATCACAATGACATACCTATGATTCTCCTTTGGTCTCTCTTAGTTATCCTCCTTTGATTCTAATTGTCAAACTATAGTTTTAGGAATGTGTAATTATTATACTTTCAATTAACTAATTACAATTTTACCCTTAATAATAGAGGAAGTAATGAATTTCTTCATTTCAAAACTAAGGGTAGAATTGGAAAGCAGACACTTATTTCAGTACAACCAAAGATAGAAATGTGGACCCTTATTTTGGGACGAAGGGAATATTTATTTTCTTCACTTTACTAATTAGTTTTGCATTTATAACAATAATTGTGCCTTTTGTATAATCATGGATTTTCAAAAATTAAATATGCTTGTATCAATTTTGACCCGAAACTAGTTTGTTTGACGATCAAAGTCAAAGTAGGACCTGTGACGAGTTTTTTTGACGATCAAAGTCAAAGTAGGATAACTAATTGAGGATGAAAGGAGTAATAACATATTATACAATTTTAGGGTATTTAGGACTTTGTACATCCCACCCCTGACCCCATCGACCCTACTTCTGATGAGGATATACTGTGTTTGTTTGATTTGGTTTTATGGTCCGTTCCTAACCAGTGACGTATCTTGGCAGTTTAGCGTGTTTTTGATGGAGCGTAAATCAAATCTCATTACATTTTCGTTCTTATTTTAAAGTAAATCACGTGTTCATTTTTATTGGTCGGTTTTTTCAGGCAGCCGCTGCTGGTACGGTAATTCTGCTTTCGGCTCTCCTTGTTTTCGTGGTTCAACCGGTTTTCGTCTCGCCAGCATTTGCCTCGTTTCAAACTGCTACCAAAACAGGCTCGGGCGCATTTGCCCGAAGCGAGTTGCTGAGCAGTGCGTGGACCGGTTTCTTTGCCGGTTGCTTGCACACTTTATCTGGACCAGACCACCTTGCTGCTCTAGCCCCGCTCTCGATTGGCCGGTCTCGAGTCGAGAGTGCTATGGTTGGAGCCCTCTGGGGATGCGGGCATGATGCGGGCCAGGTAATATTCGGTTTGCTTTTCTTGCTCTTAAAAGACCGGCTCCATATTGAGATCATAAGAACATGGGGTACACGAGTTGTCGGTTTTACCCTTCTTGTCATTGGAGCCATGGGAATCCGTGAAGCCTCGGAAGTCCCAACTCCGTGTGTCGCCCTCGAGAATGGTGAGTGTGATGTCAGCGTTTACGAGGCTTCGATAGCGGACCCCACCGTCGGCAAAAAGAAGAAAATTGGATTCGCAACTTTCGCCACCGGAATAATCCACGGGTTACAACCCGATGCGCTTATGATGGTCTTGCCGGCACTTGCCCTCCCGTCTCGGATGGCCGGTGCGGCTTTTCTAGGCATGTTTTTGGTGGGAACAGTTATCGCGATGGGAAGCTATACGGTTTTTATCGGGTCATGTAGCCAGGCGTTGAAAGATCGGATCCCGAGAATTACGGAGAAGCTGACGTGGATTTCGTCGTTGGTGGCGATCGCACTCGGGCTCGGAATTATCGTTAGTCAATTATTCGGGTTTAGTTTGTACTAATTTTGGTAATATTTGAGGTTAGGGGGATTATACACCTACTTTATCTGCCAGCAGAAAGTTGTTTATTGGAGTGTATTATTTGATATATTGCAATAGTACCTCGTGCATTAACTGTCTGTACCTTGTCCTTATGCATTTGTACATCGTGCAGTAACGATTGTACTACTCGAATGGACCATGAATTAGGTATCTGTAACGACAATATTGGTGTGGTGGTGTTGGGGGTGGTGAGTGGCGGCTGTGACGGCGAACAATAGTGGCATGGTGATGATGATGGGCTGGGGATGGTGGGTGGGTGGTAGTGGCGGAATGATAATATTGATTGATGGTGGTGGTTGCAGCGAAGGTGTTGGTGGCAAGAAGGGTGTGGGCGGCTTATTGGTGACGAGGGTGGTCAGATGGAGGCGGTGGTTCAATTGGATGTAAAGGTTATTTTCGTCTTTTTAAAACCAACTTCTAAGTTCTGTTCATTTGTTATGAAATAGAATTCAAATCCTTCACATATTTATCAGATCCTGCAATTGTGGAATTCAACGGAATCCCTGATCAATTCATTTCGCAGACCAAACATTAATTGTCACATCTTCGTATTTTATTCTTTAAATTATAAAGACTACATATGATAAAACTAATAAAACACATTAATTGTCGGTGGTCGCAACAACTGCGACAATGGTGATAGTGACACAGAGATGGTGATGGTGGTAGCGGTGACAGTGGTGTTGGTAGCAGTGGCGGTGGCAGCAGAGACAATCCTTTAACGGTTGCACCACGACAGTATATGAACTTGTGAATACGTGTTACTTTTTTAGGATGCAGTTTGAAAGCGAAGGTCCATTCGTCTGCTTGATTTCAAACCAAAACGTCTTTATGTTAAAGGGGTTTCAGTTATATTTGGTATATTAGCTGTAAAATTACCAGTTGATTAACAATAGCTTATCAACTGATATATTTGATAAAAATAAGACGATAAGTTAAATGACAATGTAAAATTACTATAATACCCTATTGTAGTTTCCGATTGCTTTTCATCTTATCTCAGTGTCATTCTTGTCTATGCAACTTTTTATCTATTTTTATTTTGTAAAAAATATAACGTTTTGTTTTTTATAAACAGTAAAATATGTAAAAATATATTTATATTTTTTAAAATTAATAAATTAAAAAAGAAAAGCCGATAATATTTGTAAAGTTATAAAGTTATTCTTAT